CCCTTTCTCACCTCTTCCTGCTTTCGCGTAAATTCAATTCTCATCTACTTCTCATTGTTCTTGTTGCTCTCCTTTTCTCTATTCTTACTTGGTCCCCAGAAGTCTCCCACATACCGCCCCAGCCTGCTGCGCATTGTAAACTTTCCTCGATCGCGATTGTTGGAAACATCTTTCAGCTCAACAACAATTCATCCTATTACTTCTCACGAAGTTTTCAAAAACTCACCAATCGTATTTCGACTCCCTACCTCGACGTATTCGCATTTTGCACGATACTACCCTCTCCAAGTGCTTCCTCGACTAGAACCCTCTTTGGACGGATAGGATCCGCCAGAACAACCACCATGTCCGCTGTTGCAACAGCTCCAGTGGTGAATGGAAATCACGAGTCTAACAAAGACTCAAACTCTGAGCATAGCCCTTCGCGGTTTACCGCGGTAAATGGAAGAGAGCACGGTGCGCCGCCTTATAATAACAACAACCATAGTATCAGCCATAACAATAACAATAACAATGGTCCATCAGAAAATCCTCCGACCGCACCCCAGAACGAAGAACCACCCACCACCAATTCTCTGGAGCGCGATCGTAGTGGCAGGAACTCAGGAACACCTTCTCGCCAACCGGAACAACTCATCGAAACCACAAATCACGCAGCTCAGGATCCCGACGTATCCTACATTGCATCTGACGGGCAGTCCTCAAACGCAAATCGAAACAAACGAAAACGATCAGAGACTGATGAGCGGCAAAGCTCTCCATCATTGTATCAGGGCCAAAGCATTTCCAGGAGCCCAGTTTCCAAATCTGATCAGCATCTAGAACCGCAGATTCAAGCTACTGGTCCAAAAGGCGCAACCCCCATACAGACATCATCTGAACTGGATACATCTTCTAAAGGAACTAGACAAAATTTTACGCACGTGGAAAGGGGCGACAGCATTCAATCAACTGCCAACACCTCGACCTGGGATGGTTATGACGCGCAGCAACTGCCAAACCATGCTCAACTTGGCCACCAACCCATCGACTCTTCCGATGCCCAGCTCGCAGAAGCTCTGCAGCGTGACGTTCAAGGCCCTGACCATGGCACAAAGAACTGGACACCTGTCCCCCGCCCCGAAGGTGAATCTGTCGACCAAAATCGCAGGCTCGCGACTTACAGTGAGACACCACCCCAAGAACGCCCCTCCGGTCCTGTACAGGTTGGCCCTAAAAGAAAGAGAGTTTTCAGCAACCGCACAAAGACCGGTTGCATGACGTGCAGGAGAAGGAAGAAGAAATGTGATGAACAACATCCCTCATGTATGTCCACCATCTCTAGGATCTCCTACTCTTCTCTTCCAACGTCACAAGTGCTATATTCCCCCCCCCCCCCCCAAAAAAAAAAAAAAAAAAAAAAAAAAAAAAAAAAAAGGCATGGACAAGTATACTAACCGGCGAGTTTAAATACAAAGGCAATAACTGCTTGCGCGGTGGTTTCTTATGTGAGGGTTACTCGTCCCGAAGTACGTGGCAGAAGCCCTCCACTGCCAAAGGGCCTGTTCCACTCCAAGCCAAAGACGGCTATTCTGAGGTCTCCCCTCAGTACATACACGATATCAGCCCCCAACGACACGAGAGGGGTCCAACTACAATACATTCAGATAATGGCAAGTCTAGACCTATCCCCATAGACGAAAACGAGCGTACTGCTTCACAGTACATCACAAGCCCAACTGGCACGGGATCTAGAGGTTCGTGGTCGAAAGGTACCTGGCCATCTGGTCCCTCCTCTTCAACGCCGGAACATCCTTCCCAAGGAGAGTTTCGAGATCGTCCCGGTATTAACAACATATCTCGTGCAGAGCAATCAAAGTCCGATTATCATGCCGCACTGCGGGAAATGTCTCATGCCAATCCTCATCAGAAACCCGGAATGCCTGTTTTCCAAGGAAACATGAGCCAGCGTCCCAAACATCAACAATCTCACGTTGACACAAGCAGCTACTCGGCACAGGCTAGATTAGCTCTCAACCTAGAGCCGCACGTACCCTTTGAGATCAAGACGGAAAAGGAGAAAATGCTGGCCGGCGAACCCTACGTAGCCCACATTGCGCCCCAGCTCATTAAAGAACGAGAGCGCTGCAAAGCTGCACTATGGCGATTTAATAACGCCGGTAATCCGAATCTTGGCATCGCTCCCCAAGAGCGAACTCGTCTATTAAAGCAAATCCTCATGCCCCCACAAGACCCACAGGAAGACCCAACAACAACTACGAGCACCCCCATCGGCTCCTTAGGACCTGGCGTCGTGGTCGAAACCCCTTTTAACTGCCATTACGGCTACAACATCAACATAGGCGAAGATGTGTTGATATCCGAGAACTGTCTTCTCGTGGATGATTGTGCCATCACTATCGGGGCGCATACGTGGATAGGTCCTAACGTCACCATCCTAAGTTCCATGGCGATGGGGAGCATGCAGGATCGTAAAGGGGCGAAGAGTCGGTACCAGGGTCGCCCTGTCGTCATTGCTGAAGACTGTTGGATCGGCGCGGGAGCTACCATCTTACCCGGTGTGAGTCTGGGGAGGGGCGCGTATATTGCTCCTGGGGAAGTTGTCAAGTCCCAGATTCTGCCGTATGGGTTTCAAGGGCTGAAGCCGAATTTCCCGTGAATATATTTATTAATATTATCGTATGTTTTTATGATAATATATATAATTCTTATATTTAATCCGGGTGAGAATGAAGTTTGTGAGCTTGATATACGTTTCGGTTATCCGCAGAATCTGCCTGGGTGGGTTCTTTTTTATTTTCTTTTTTTTAAAAACAAAAAAACAATATTGAAAAATATTAGGTAAATAATTAGATGGGAAAGGAACATTATGATGAACCCCTATATTCTTCTGGCTTCACCCATACTATTCCTTTCCTCCACATGGCATCTTTGAAGTTGAGTCTCAGTTGCCTTACACAGACCCTGTCGTGTTCTGGCTGGCTCAGATAATTTGAGTGGAGTGAGTAAAATTTCTGTTTCCTTTTCCTTCCATTTTTCATTCCGCCTGCTCATTGTTTGAAAATGCATATGTTTTTCGCAATTTTATTTGTATTAGTTTTACATTTCTGGTCGAAAGGATTCATCTATTTTATTTTCATTATTATTTTATTCTTTTTCTTTCCACCTCTTGTTCCCCTTGTCGCTTGATGAGAACGAACAACGCTCGCGCTATCAACTTTTTACCTTCCGTTCTTTGTTTTTTGATCTCTTTTTTCCCCCTCTTACACCCGCGTATATTTTGCATATCTATATAAATTGTATGTGTCTCTGCATGTTTTCCGATCCTTCATCAGATCTCGAATGAAATTGTGGTTCCCGTTCTCGCTTTCGCCGACGCTGTTGTGTCTTTGGGCTGATTCATCCCTCCTCTCTTCCCTTTGATATGTACAAGTCAATTGCTTGTTTAGTTACCTTGTTTGATGAGATGGTGTATGCTTCCTTTGGCAAGGCTCCGGTTGCGAATGTGAAGTTCTTTAATAGGTTTATGACGCAGTGCTATTAATGTGATGGTGAAGAATTGATTTCGTGATTATGATATTATTATTAGTCCTATCTTCAGTTGAAATTTATTAGGTGTCTCATATACCTAGGAAGGTATGTTGAGTTGAGGTTATTATCCAGTATCAATATGGAGGGGTTCTTGAGGCGTCAATGAGCACCCGAAGTACTTATTTTATTTTTCACCTGTAATGGAATAAAGACATCCAAGGCATATGCCGTCCCGATTCAGCTGGGAGAGACACATCCCCATATCCCATAGGTAGGTAGGAGCTATGCAGAGACTCTCTC